TCACCTCAGCCTCCCAAAGACGTGGGATTACAGGCTGAGCCACCGAGCCCGGCTATTATTTGCGTTTCTTAAAATGAATCTCTTTAAAGTAGAGATGCTTTCCTAATACATCAAGTCTAGCAATAACTATATTAAGACACCTAAAATCTAGTTTATTTTAAAATTTTCCCAGTAGTTGCAAAATGTGTCTTTGACTGGTTTTCAGTCAAGGACCACACATTCCATCTCATCTAATTCAAAACAATCTTCAGTTGACACTTGAACAACATGGACTTGAAATGTGCAGGTCCATTTATACGTGAATCTTCCAACCAAACTTGGATCGAAAGTACAGTATTTGTGGGATACAGTACCTGCATATGAGGAGGCCCGGCTGCGGATTTGAGTATGTGTGGAGTTTAGTTTACAGTAAGTCTTCGAAGTGCGAACTTTCAAGTTACAGACTTGAACAATGTACACCTGTGTTATTTCTCTCCACTAGGTGTCAGAATAGCCTGTTAAATGGGTATGTACAATACTATATAGCAGATTGTGTTAGTTGGGTACCTAGGTTAACCTTGTTGGACTTAAAACTAATTGGACTTACAAACGCACTCTTGGAATGGATCTTGTTCGTATGTTGGGGACTGTACCCAGAGATCCTGGAACCAAACCTCCATGTATACTGGGGAATGACTGTATTTGTACACACACAAACATACACTTTTTTTGTTTTTTACCATAAGTTTGACTTGAGGAGACCATGTGTTCGCACTACAGAATAGCACACTTTATGGAGTTTTCAGATTTCATTCTTATGATGTTATTTAACTTGTTTATCTGTCCACTGTATTTTCAGTCCACTGAAAAGTAGTTCTAAAGATATCATTAGGTAAATCAGTTCTCTCTAAGCCAGTAAATTCAAGGTAATTAGTTTTGAAAAATTCTAAGAAGACATTTTTCAAACATTTATTAAAGAAAAATTATGTCTTGGAAAGTATATAAACTTGATGGGTTTTTTTTTGAGTTGGAGTTTCACTCTGTCACCCAGACTGGAGTGCAGTGGCCGCTCCCGGCCACCGCAGCCTCGACCTGCTGGGCTCCGGCAATCCTTCCGCCTCAGCCTTCCAAGTAGCTGGAACTACAGGCGCGCGCTACCACGCCCGGCTAATTTTTTGATTTTTTGTAGAGATGAGGTCTCGCTGCCCAGGTGGGTCTCAAACCCGCGGGCTCAGGCAATCCACTCACCTCAGCCTCCCAAAGGCGCGGGATTACAGGCTGAGCCACCGAGCCTGGCTTAGCTTGATGGTTTTTTTACAAATTAAGCATACTTGTGTAACCAGCTCCCAGATCAAGAAATAAAATATTATTAACCAGCCGGGCTTGGTGGCTCAGCCTGTAATCCTATGCCTTGGGAGGCTGAGGTGAGTGGATTGCCTGAGCCCGTGGTTTCGAGACCCGCCTGG